TTTGGTTTCATAGGGATTCGGATACCTTCCTCATTGAAGTAGTAAAGCAAATGCGCTTAAGTGCCTTTTTCGGTTACGTGCACAAGTTTTTTGTGCAAAGAAGGATGTGCAGCTAAGCAAAATATACTGTACCTCTTTTTCGCAGGTAGAATTCCCGATAATCTATCGACTTGAAAATTTAAATTTAGCTCAGAACCCGTTGACAGTGCAATATGAATGATGAATTAATGGCGCAGGTTTGGAAAACCCTTATATATGGTCCGATTTGTTTCATACTTAGAATTAGTGTTGGACAGTATCGGTACCAAGAGTACTCAGAACTCGATTATCAAAAGGATCGACAGTACCCGATTATTAAAAGTATCGATACTAAGTAGTCCAAGGCAGCATTCAATCGACGTTATTTGGGAATAATATATTAGTCTGAATAAAGTCCTGCCACCTAAAGAGATTTCTACACTAAGCATTGAAATGTTACCAACATATGTATATTTAAAGAAAGTACTCGATACTCCCAACACTATAGATTTAAGTACACACAGATTTAAGTTTTCATATACATATGGAAACTAAGTAAAAAAAAATAAAATTATAATATAGAAAAAAATAAGTAAGTTTTGAAGAATTAAATGAAATATATAAAAAATAATAATTTTGTTTTTTAAATAGTTAACTTAAAAAATTGAAGGAAAGCTAAATTAAAAAAAATTAAATAAGTTTCTAAAAATGAAATGATATTAAAAATATATATTTTTTTAAACATTTAACAAATTAAGAGATTCTTGAATTAGAAAAAGGAAAAAAGGTAACTAAAATGAATTTCTAAAAATTAAAATACATCAAAAACATAAACATATTTACATATGATTTTCTTTTCAAAACAACAATATAAAAAAACTTAATTAAAAGAAAAGAAAAATTAAAAAAAATAAAAAAGTACCACTGGCCGATCGGACCTCACGAATGGCGCGGTACACAGTACGGCTGAATTCCAAAAGTGTTGATTCAATAATAAAAGGTTTGCTCAAAAAACCGTTTTCTCGCTCCCTCTTGACAAAATCGGCTCCCTTAGCAAGGCACTGTGTGTGGGCTCGTGTGTGTGTGCAAAGCTTTTGTAAGGGAACTAAGGGAGTGTCAAAACTCTAATGTCACTAATGAGCAAACCTTTAATTATTGAATAATGGACCGTATACACATCACTTTTCGATAGGACTGATAGTTTCTGACAAAATAATTAACCATTGCAGACTTTTTTTTTTTTTTTTTTTTATAAAAATATGAAAAAAACACCTTAACAGAAGAAAAATTAAAAAAATAACAGGTTCCGTGTCAAATTTTTGCCTTAGTGCTAAAGCCTGTTGTGTTACAAAATAATCAAGTTACTAATGTAGAAAACAGATGGATAAATAAAGAAGCAATGAGTGGTGGAATGAAAATACGCAAAGATTTTTTGTATCAAATATAATAATATTGTTAGGTGCATGATAAAAACATTAGAAGGTAAAACCATTTCTCTCAATTCGTCGGCCATGATGTTTTCTGACGTTTGCAAACATTTTATATAAAATTGAAAACAAAAAAATGAAAGTGTTCACAACTGTTGTTGTTTGAGACTAAAAATGAGAATGTCTGTGTGAGCTTGAGTTCGAATTTTAAAATTATATTGCTGGTAAACTTCAGACTGCCTCTCAATGGTTTTACCTTGTAATATTTTTATCATGGTTAGGTGTACATGGCGTATGAGTAACATTATTTCCTGCTCATACAAAAAATCTTTGCGCATTTTCATTTGCGCATTACCACTTATTACTTCTTTATTTATCCATCGTATTGCTTCGTTAGTAACTTGATTTGTTTGTAACAGCCCGGGCTTTAGCACTAAGGCAAAAATTTCACACAGAACCAGTGAGTTTTTAATTTTTCTCCTATTAAAATTTGACTTTTTAATTTGTTTCATCAAAAAAGAAAACTGGAATGATTAATTGAATTGTCGAAAACTATTAGTCCAATCGGAAAGTGACGTATAGATGGTTTATGGAAAATATTGTTTGCTTTCATTTGTTGTATTCCATTTTCAGTTTGTTAAATTGGTTCATCAGATATAAGTGGACCACTCTAATGCACATATGTACATAAATACTTAAAAGTTAACGAAATGAATTTCTGTGTCATCGCTGGTAAAAATAGTTTAACCAAATATGTATGTTGCGTGGCATTAACCAATTCATTTGTTCGCTTATACAAATACAGGATGGGCCAAATAGTAAGTCCTACCAATTCTACGCAGCAGGTCCATAGTTTGCCTAGCAGAGTGCGTAGTCGCTCCATCTTGTTGGAACCACAAATTAGGATGCTGGTCGCAAAAAGTTGTCAATCATTGTTTTGTAAGAAATCCCAGAAGTCGTTTCTGGCGTTTCATCCTCATCATTCATCGAAGAAATATGGGCCGATAGCTTTTTCGGCCATAATACCGCACCAAGCACTGCATCTGAATGGGTGTAACTTGTGTTGCCCTACAAACAAAACATCACATAAAATATCAATTTGTATGGCTAATTGTGTAAAAGGAATAGCTTATTGTAGTCATTGTTGGTGGTCTTGCTGCAAGTATACTAGTATAACATGCAGCAAGAAAATAACAATAATATTAAAAATTAAAGAAGTTATATGTGTTGAAAATTGGTAGGTCTTATTTGGCCCACCCTGTACAATCATAAAAATATGTACACTCAATTAAAAGAAAATCGAAAAACGACAAGATGAAGAAAAGCTAGGAATTTGTGGTTTGTATTTACATCTGAACACACATACATATGTACGTATGTGGGCATGTGCATACATACATACATGCACGTACCTACATATGTACATATGCTACATAATTGTAAATATGTATGTTTATAAACAACTTGATAGCAATCCTTAAGTACTACATAAATATGTTTGTACAAAGTATTTCAATCGCCGAAATGATCAGGGTCAGCAAGCAAAAAATTAGATGTACTTTATTGTAAGCATAGATACATTAATGCGTACAGTGAATTCTCTCAACGACTACTTGTTCGACAGCGAGCCGTCGGACTTGGACCTGAGGAAAAATTGGCATTCACATTCATACTTACATACATATATAAATAAATAAAAATATATGTATATATGTACTAGCATAATAAGATACAAAGAATGTCGCACCACATCGAATATCAAGAAGAAAATGTTCGATGATATTCAACACTGTGGATCCGCAACGACTAATCATTATTACTGTTGTATGTAGTTCCTGTGCGTACTTAAGTAAAAATAGAAACGACCACTGAAGATGTTCAAAAAACAACAACTTTGAAAGCAGTGACGAACTATGTACATTAGGGTGGTAAAAAAAAAATATATATATTTGCGGAAGTTCAAAATGCTGAGATCTCATCCTCTTGAATTTTTTAAATGTAAAAAATACCATTATTTTGGTAAAAAAATTATATTTAGAACAGCCTCAAACCCCATAAAGTTTTGTATATATTTTATAGGGGGATAAAACGCTTTGTAAAAATGGTAGATTTCATTTTCTATCGTAAAACTTTGTTTCTCTTTAGGGGACTTCGTATAACAATGCACAATTGTTTATTTAACCATTTTTTTATTATTAGCTATGTATTTTTTATAGGTTTCCCAAAAGCCACAAAAATACAATGGGGGGGAGCCATAAAAAATCTTTAGTATTAAAATATGGTAAAATAAACCATTGGGTATCGTTACTGGAAGTCTCCTGAAGAAAAACAGGGTTTTCCGATCGAAAAATATCAATTTTTAAGAATTTTATATCTACCATTTCTACGAAAAATCGTTTAATCTCCATATAAAATATATGTACAACTTCATGGGCTTCGAGGCAGTTCTAAATATAATTACAAAAAAAAATACAGGCATTTCTTATACCATTTAGAAAAATCCTAAGTGGTGAAAGCTTGCCATTTTAAACTTTTGTTTGGACCACCCTCATGTACATACATACATAAATGTGAGAGAGGTAGTAATAAAAATGTTTTATTTTTTTATACATAAATATATAAATTTTTTATTGTTGCTGTGGCAGTCACTTCGCCAAGTATGCATGTCACCTGTATGCTTCGATGCCAGTTACCAGCCGAAAAACAGCAGCACCAGCACATGCACCACCTCAGAGTGAGTGTATTTGTATTTGTATGCGTTGGAAAATTTGCGCAGTCAATGGCGCTGTTGGCTGTTGGCTGAATGTGATAGAAAAATGTAATAGGAAAATGTGAAAAGTAACAACAGCTAAACAAGAATAAACTTTCGCAACTTTTGAAAAATTCTAAATGGCTTCATTCAATGCGGCATACATTCATATTTGTATACATACATACGTACATACATATGTTTATACAGGTAAGTCAGTGGTGAATGTGTGTAGAGTGACACCGTCCCACGAACCGACCACCAACCGATCGCCAAGCATTTTTGCAATCGCTCGCCGCCGCACAAATACCCTGACACCTCAACATTTAGAAACTTCGTGCATGCGTTCGTTTTTCTGTGCAAGTTCGGGAAAATTTCGAAAAATATTTTGACTGCCCAATCGACAAGAAAGTACCTAACACGCGTGCTGTAGACGAGAAACGTTCAGTCGAGACAGAGCTCATCCACGGGTTAGTTGATTTATTCTCATCCAACAGACAAAATGGTGAGTGGCTGATTTGAGTGTAAAAAGGAATACACAATTTTCTACATAACCTCAATAACTTAAATATTGTATAAAGAAAAAATGCAAAAATTTAAAGTAACTTTCTTTACTGTCTTTCTAATTTTAGGCCGATGTACCAAAACGTGATCTTGAAAGTAAGTTTAAAAGCAGTAAAGCAATTATTTCTAAAAAAAAGACGATAACAGTGAAAAATGCTAAAATGTCGGAAAATTATTATACAAGCATTTGCAAGTTGGATTTAAAATTCCTTGAAGAAAAAAAAAGAACCAAAGTAAAATCATAAATATTTAAAAACTGTGTAAACGTTTTTTTATGTTACATTACGACGTGCTAAATATTAAAATAAAAGTGTTCGCATCTAACCAAAAGAAGCCTACAAGCCGGAAGCTTACATAATATTGCAAAGTGATAGCGGTATCTCACTACAATTTAAAATTTTGGAATACCAGTGAATTCTTTGGCAGAGCTCGATCTTTTTATGGGTAAACTTGAGCACACACACACACACACCAGCACATATCAGCACAAATCACCTAACCGCCCACGCTTCCATATTTTATCTACAACTGCATATTTTTGCTGGTTAAGGTGCCCATAAAAAGTATTTTATAAAGCAAATTCATACAATGAAATGACAACGAAACGGAAATGAAACACTATTTGTACGCTCTTGCCACTGCCTTTGACGTCGGCCACGTTTACAATTGTTTGCGTGCTATTTTTAACAAATGGCTGAATGCCGAGAAGTGTGTTCAAAAAAATTTAAGTCGTTCAAAAACAAATTTTTTTAAAGAAGAAAAATAGGTGGATATAAAAAAAAAATCGAAAAACAAAACTGTGCCTGCATGAACGGGCAATCAACAGAACGGACACCACTAAGCGAACAGAAAAGTGTGAACAAAAAAAAAAAAAGAACTAAAAATAAAAATGAAGGACGAAAAATCTAGCGTACAGTAAATATGTGTGCAAATATTTGGTGCTGCTGATATGAAGTACATATGTGAATGTTCTGCTAGCTATAAATACATATATATGTACTATGCATAGAGAAGAAAAAAATCTTTGCATACAAGGCAGAGAGATCGGCAAAAGAGCGAACGCATTTCTAATTTTGGGAAATTTTTCTTATAGTTTTTCTTTTGTTGCCTACCTTACATATCCACATGTATGTATATATGAATATATAAAAAAATACACATACATGCCTGCGTACATATGTATGTATGTATTTAAGTTAACGAACAAAAAAAATAAAAATAAAAATAAAAACGCAAAATATTTCATGTGTTTTCGGTTCGTCGATATGTTTGTTCGTTCGTGTGCTCGCCCGCTCATTCAGTGATGAATTCGGGTGTCAAATTTCCTATACAGACGAATCGTGTACGCAGAGTAAAATTCCCAATAACCGAGTTGAGACGTCGTCATGCCAAAAAGTATGATACATACGAGTTGAAGGCCCCTAAAATGTGGGTGTATTGCAAATATGGAATGTGTCATAAATACCTTCGACTTGTACTTGAATAATTGAGCTCCGAGTTCGGTTGTAGGCATGAAGAGGTAAAGTGAACATTTTTCGATGAAAGATGTGCTAAAGCGATATGAACTGGGAACTACATATGTTTTTATGATTGATATGCTCCGGTTATGAACCAAGGGCATCTATTCGAGTAACTTAAAGAAAAGTAGCAAACATTTTGAGAACAGTAGGAATATTAGGGCACTGAATGTAATATGTTTTTGTTTTTAATGGGCTTTTTTCAACACTGAAATGAGAAACATTGACCACTAGTCTGTCGTATAACTAAATTTGAAAGATTATTGAATTTTTGAAAGATCAATAAAGTTCAACGCAGCTGAAACCAAACCATCAAATCCACTATAATTTTCATACTACATACCAGGGATGCCAACTCTATTTAGGCTAATTCACCCAATGATAATGTCAAATATTAACGTCAAGTGAAAAGTGTCGGTATGCAAGGTTGCAATTTCTTTAATATCCACACGGTCGCATGAGGAAATTACGTTATATTTTAAATCTGTAACACCGTAATAAGATATTGGGCCTCATGCATAAGAAGCGAGCTCAAGCTCAGCCTAAACTTTTGCACCGATGGAGTGAGCTTTTAATTAAGCTCAAGAATTTGTACTGAAAAGTGAGTTGGATCTTAAGCATTAGGCTCGCTAAATAAATAGGAATTCTTCCCCCAAAATCTAAAGCCATTCCCAGATCCCCCCCGAGAAATTAAAATTCCACCATAATCGGGGAATTCTTGAAACTCAACGTTTTATAAAACTAAAGGTAAATTACAATACCAATATACAATAAAAAAAAAAACAATAATTGAAACATACGAAAAAGGCAAAGTAAATTAAAACAACCAAAAAATTAATCTATTCGCGCATTGCTTTTGCTACATGCAGACAGAAGTTTTACAAAAGTTTTAAAATATATATATCCAAATCAATGCACGTACACATTTAATTCCTTTTCATCTCCCATTCCAGATATCGAATTCGTTTTCGAAATCATGGGCTCTGCCGGTGTGGGCATTGATGCCGTTGATCTAGGTGATGCCCTCCGCGCCCTCAACTTGAACCCAACCTTGGCGTTGATCGAAAAAATGGGCGGCACCAAGAAGCGCAATGAGAAGAAAATCACCTTCGAAGAATTCATCCCCATCTACGCACAAGTGAAGAAGGAGAAGGATCAGGGCTGCTACGAAGATTTCATTGAATGTTTGAAATTGTACGACAAAGCCGAGGATGGCACAATGCTGTTGGCTGAATTGCAACACGCCCTACTGTCACTTGGTGAGTTTGGCAGAAGAATATGAAAAGTCAATAAGAAATAAGAAGCTCAGATTAGAGCTCGGTGTAAAATATATTTTTTAACACTTCAAAAATTGTGGGGAAAAATAACAAAATTTGGGTGTAACTTGGACCAGGGCGGTCGCCAAAAGTAAAAAAAAATAGCATTAGATTTCGGTAAATCTCAAGAATTTTTATATACTCGTAGAATAATCTTCTGGTTGGGAACTAAAGAATGGTTAGTATTTTTTCAGAAGCGCTTAAAAAGTAATTAAGTAAGGAGAAGGCAATTTTTTTTTAATTATTTACCGAAGAAAACTTTTAGCGCAAAAAAATAGGGAATATGAAATATCGAGTGCTCTTGAGGCGTGCGAGATTAACGAAGACAGTTGTTAAGAATTGTGTTGGCTTTGCGATTCAACTTTTGAATTCGGGTTTTAGGCAACTACTTTTTTAAGTGAGCTTTTTGGTATACTCTTAGCCAATTTTTTTTATCGTTTAGCTAACTACGATCATTTACCAATTTTTGTACTAACTGATTTTGTAAATTTGCAATATAGGTGAGGCATTGGATGATGAGCAAGTTGAGACTCTCTTCGCCGATTGCATGGACCCCGAAGATGATGAAGGCATGATTCCATACTCCCGTAAGTAAAAGCGAAAAAAAAAAAATAAAAATAAAGTACCACCAACTAATCAAGCACATATGAAATGAAACTATTTATGTATTCACAACAATAACAAGCGCCCTCGTTGCTCATCCAAAAAATTGCCCAATAGTATTATGCATATTTTCACCTAAAACAATTTTTTTTTTAACTATTTATTTACATGCATATGTACATATGTATGTATGTATATTCGTATTTTTTTCATATGTAATACATTTGTTTTTGTTTTCCATATGTATTTTCATTCTATGTCGACTTATATGTGTACCTACGTTTTATGTGGCAACCGAATGTTTAAATATCCAAAAATAAATCCCAACGCACTGTGGAACGATATATATGTATCACCAACCAAAACAAAAAAAAAAATGCACTACTTCCAACAACACTTCACTTCCCCGTACGTATGTGTATGACGCACCTCCACTTTGTTTTACAACCACACACACACACACACCCAAACGCCACACGTCCACCCAAACTGGCCCAAAATTTCTACGCACAAACTTGCACAAATTATGCCTGCGTGAATTATGAAAATGTATGAACACAAAAACAATTTCCATTTGTAATAATGTGTGTGCGCCGTGCAGAGTTCATCCAGAGAATGATGAGCGATCCAGTTGTCTTCGACTAAACGGTAAGTACTTAATTAAGTATGCAAGCATAAAGGATGGGGTTTGTAGCGGTAAATTATGTATATAGGTCAAAGTAAGGGGTGCAAGTTTTGGAGTAATTTATTAGAAGAAAAAAAAAAAACGATTGTGTGGGGGACAGCTTTACAATGGTAATTTGGAAACGACAGGCATAGCTCTGAAAAATTGAGGAGGGTCTGGAAAAATTACAAATATCATAATTTAAACGTTAAAATTGGATTTTTATTTTTTCGACCAAAAATATTTAAAACATTTAAAAATTATCGAAAAAAAATTAAAGTAAGCATTGTATTTTTTAAAAAATAAACATTTTGGCATTTAATGGTTATTTGCGGTCCTTTTCGAATAGTAAAACGCGATGAATGCCTGAAAAGTAAGCAAGGCTTATCGACTATATTCTGCTCAAAGAATATACGGAAATGCTTCTCGTTTTTGGTTTGGAAAATAAAAGGAAAAATTATTGGAATATTTTGCCCAAAATAATACAACTCTTTAAAAATTGGTATTGCGATTTTCCACTTCAAAGATTACTGCAATTCTCTGCAAATTTGTAATTTATATTTAAATCGAAATAATTCACAATAGCTTCCATACTTTGATTTGATTTGAAAGTTTTCAACAGAATTTCCAACTTTCTATTCAGAATTTTTAGAAAGCTTTCGAGTATGCAGCTACAAAACCATTCAATTTAAGTAATTTTAGTATGTGAATGTCTATGTATGATTATCTGTGTATCGGTATATCTGTTCCCCACAATATTATTTGCTACATTTGTTTGTCAATGTTTGCACAGTTTGTTTGTATTGGTACACAATAATTATCCGGGCGGTTTGTCAAAGTGCAATATACAAATTAAATATTTAGGTACCTATTTTAAATTAAAATTTGTATTAAAATAAAAAAAAAGTATTAATTGTAAATTTTTCATTTTTTCTTTCTTTCTTTTTCCTTTCAACAGCATTTCTTGCCAGAATGTGTGAAAGACCAGATATGCTATAAAATCACCATTCACTTATAGCGGCAACCATTCTCCATAGATGTTTTATTCATCTCTCTCTCGTATATTTATTTTTAATTAAATTTTAATTTCTTTCTTTTTATGAATGCACTAATTGCATTACAAAGGTAGTGCGATTACTTTTCAACGAATATCTACATAAAGAGTAGCAAAACAAAACCTTACAAACACAAATTATGAAAAGCTTAAAGTAATTTTTAAATTATGTATATAAAACCAAATTATACCAAAAAAAAAAAAAAACTAAAATTATAAAATAATTTTGTTGTTCATTTATTTAATTTTAATTACATAAACACCAAAGAAAATGCTATATATGTATATAACTATAATATACATTATATATAGAATATTAAAAAACAACAACAACCAACTCGTGTAGTCAACGTTGCAAAAAGGACTTAATAAATGTTACTATAATAAACTTTAATGAAAAATGGATAACCCAACAAAGGTGCATAAAATACATATTAATATCAACAACAACAACTTACGTGAAAATCTCAAACAGTGTCGTGTTTGCTGCCAAAGGTGCAGGAAAAATCTGAACAAAAAAAAAAACAAAAAAACCACAACAACGAAACAACTTAAGTCGAATTTATACAAATGTATTTAACTCTCTCTCTCTATCTTGCGTATAATATATTAAAATGCAAGTCATATTTACTATTTATTTGCATGCATTAATATATATTATTATGCAAATAAATAAGGAAAACAATTTCATGGCGCATGGTTAAAAAACAGATTTTTTTTTAGTTGTTTTCTATTTCGCCACCTGAATGCTATGTGTTGCGCAGCGTTTGGAACAAGAAAAACCACTATTTACTAAAAAAAAACAAAAAAAAAAATGAAAACACAATTAAAACAATACAATTTTTTAATTAGTTTAAAAAATTTGCTTATTTGAATTATATAACTACTCAATTTGTTACAATTTCCATATTTCTATTTAAAACGGGCCAAAAATTGCAATAGAATTATAAAAATAAGTACATCAAAATAAACACAAAGAACAAAAACAAAAACATCGAATAAAGTGTGTACAAGCAATGTGCGTATGAATACAGCTTTGTTGATAATTGTTTTTGGTATTTTTGTTTTAGTCATAGTCAGGCTACATACCGCCCATTGACCAGTTTTCAGCTCAGTTGTTCGTCTGCCGCACATATCGCTGTCAAGTATGCCCATCACAGACAGCTACTACATGTGACACGCAAAGTGTCCAGTCAACAGTCTCACGAGAGCAAATACCCATGCACATAGCTAGAGCCTTCGAAATTAAGACCAACACGAGTTTTGCCCACCTGCGAAATATTATCCCAGTTTCTGATGGAGGCTTCGATGTCTGAAGGTGGCAGTGCTATAATTAGTTGCGGGCGAAAGAATGCGAGGTATGAGCCGCCTTTAGCCCAAATGTTCGGATGTCTCATTACGGTGGGGTGACCTAATAAGGCCATAATGACTTTATTTACATACTTTTGTGATTGGAAATAAGGCCATTATGGTTTTATTGCGCCTTTGGAAATTTATTTTTAGAAAATATTATGAGACGTGAGCGGGATGTGGTAGATCATTGGGGCGAGCAAACGCGGACCCGCCAAGTTATGCACACGCAAAACTATAAACAAAACAATCTTGGACAACCACACGACAGAGTGGACTTATATTTTAACTCCATACAGCTCAATTCACTCCTTCATTTGGTCGAAAAATAATCGCGAGAAGTGTTCAGCGCAAAAATTGCGGCCCGGCCAGTTTTTTTTTTTTGATTACGGCCGAGGGTCTTGTAATGAAATAATTAAAAAAAAAAACTATAGTAATGGCATATATTTAACTTTAAGTTTCAATAACCGTTAAATCCGTAGGTTTTTAAAAAATTATACAAGACTTTTTTGTAGAGCGTCTATTTTCCTACAAAAATATGTATCGCACTTTTCAGTGGATAATTCAAAGGTGAGAAAAAACTAAAGTTAACAGGTAAACCCAACGAAAATGTGTCAGTGTTTTGTTGTTGTAGCAGCTTACTTAACTCTGTTTAAATCAGTGAATTCATTACATGTTGTCTTCATTCTCATCTAACGGGAGACTCAGGAAAAAGCCAGATCCGAAAGGTAGTGGGATGTTACATGAGCTGATGCGAGCGACCAGTTTAACCTGCTACAATATCCCGAATGGAGTTGTGTCAAAGTATTGTAAGCCTCACGAAGCAAGTGCTGATGATGGAATTAAAGGGATGAGAATTGCCAAGTGTATTTTGTTGATTCTCGAATACAGTATATTTTGCTTTGCGAAAAACTTGTGCGCTTAACCGAAAAAAGCACTTAACTGAATTTTCTTTACTACTTCAATGAGGAAGGTATCCGAATCGCTATGAAATCAAATAATGAGGAGCACTTACCGCGTAGAAATTACTGCAAGCGAAATTTTTTCCGATTGGTATCTAATTATCTATATAACTTAATAAAATTATAGCCGTTTTCGTTGTTCCCCGAGATGAGCAAAATAAATAAAAACTTGTAAATCTAGGGTAAGTGTAGGGCCAGTGCACGTTTACTTTCTTAGATAATTGATAATAGTTGTTAATTTTTAAGGTAGGTATCGATAATGTGCAGGTATGTTGAATGCATCTATCGGAGCAGTTTCCTTATAAATGTTAAAAATAATGCCGCTGATTCACATTTTGGGGTAGGTATCTTAAATGTGCACTTAAGCATAAAGGCAGCAAAGCAAAATATACTGTAATGGCCTGGTTCAACGGATGGTGTATTTTCATTCCAAAGACAGTCGTTGAAATACATATATATTAGGGCGGTGTAATTTTTTCGGAGCAAAATTTTCGAAGAAAGTGCATAGAAAATTCAAATGCTACGTTTATGTCTAGACAAAAATGGGGGACAAACTACATATATATATATATATCAATAGAAAAAGCGGTATATTGTGTGAAGAAAGCAACACAATTTTTTAAATGAAAAATTTATTTCGTTCAGAAAAATTTGTAGTAGGTACTTGTAATAAACTGTAATGTTTACACTTGTGTTTTTTATTGTTGTAAACTGAATAAAAAATATAACCACATAACTAGATAACCTGATAACCAAGAGGGTGTGAACAACCGCACCGATTTTTGATTTACAAACTGGGAGGGTCAAACGTCATTTTTGTTATATAGTTTATTAATAATTTTTGCTTAGAATCAAACGAATTAAATTATTCCGCCCTAATGTACATGCACTAGTTTTCCAACCTCATTAGGTGTAACATTTTTCACTAATATTTTTCTGTTTTACTTTTAATCAAAAACTTCGAACTATTTTTTTTTTTAAATTAATTTTCTTATTGCTTGATTAAAGTTTTACCTAGTCTTGGCGGTCATATTTAAATTTCGGTCATAATATAGAGAAAATTCATGTACAATAAAATCGGTTTATCCCGGTTTTTTCATTTGAAAATGGGAAACCGGGCTTTTTCAAATGACTCTAAAATCGGTATTCGAAAAAAGGTGAATAATCCATCAAACTACTATATGCACATATGTAAACTCCTACCTCTTCAACAATTTTACATTACGTAGTTCATGGCCTTGCGGCTGCTGGCCGTAGGACCTGGGTTCGATCCCTGTTCCGGGCATCATATAAATTAGAAAAAGTTTTTTCTAACAGCTATCGACACTCGGCAGGCAATGACAAATATCCGAGTGTATTTTTGCCATAAGAAACCTTCTATTAAAATCCATTTGCATTTCCAAGGCGTTGTAAAACCGTAGGACCCTTCATTTTGTGTAACACCATCAAGACGCACACCACATATTGGAGGAGAAGCTCGGCCAAACAGTTAGGAAAAGTGTATGCGCCAAAATGTTATCAATATTATTACATATTTACTAGCTTATGCCCGCAGCTCCGCCCGCCCTGTAGTTCAGTTTAACGTTCTGATTTAAAATGTAACAAAATAGAGAGAAAGTTGCTTACGCTATCGATATTCCATGATTTGATCGGTGTGTTGAATTTCAACTAAATTGTCAATTTCAGTATAAGAAAATCACTAGCATTTCATTGTTAGTATTTATACAATGTATATTAACTTTTCAAATTATTTTAATAGGTGAAAGTGCTGAGAAACTGATTAACTTTAATTAAAGTTTTGAACAGGTGGCAACCTCTTTTAAAAAAAGAAAAACATATTTTGGAAACAAATAATTTTAAAAAATTTTTGGTATGACTTGGCATCATTTTACAATGTTTCATTTAACTCGTTGAGAGACGGGAGAGACCCTAAAAACCACCTCGTGAAATTTGCTCATATGTGAAATCAGATCATAACAATTTGTGTGCCAAATTTTATCCAAAGCAATAGCAACAAACGTACTCACACATTCGCTTACAAACTTTTACATTTATAAGTCGGATTTGATTTACAATTAGTATCCAAGCTGGTGGCAATTCTGGTCGAAAATATTTTCGAAATAAATGTACATAGCTTACTTAAAACCTCGCTCGTTCGATACCCATATCAAAAATTTTATAATAAATTTATTATAAATTTATAAACAGGTGGCAGGCAGCCCCTTAAAAAAGATTTTTAAAATAAAGCTTTCGTAAACATCTCTTGCTTGGTATATATACTATAATATTTCATTTAGCTTGTTAATAGAACTGACTCTAACTTTTTGAATAGGTGGCAACCCTCTTAAATAATCCCTTCGAGATACATCGCTTTCGAACCATTTTTGGTTTGACACTCAAATTGTTGTGATAAATATTTATTTAACTTTTTAATTCAGTGATTTTAACTTTAGAGAAAGGTGGCAACCATCTAAAAATATCTTCAAAATAAATCGTTTTTGAACTGCTTTCGATTGGTACACGCATTGTTGTATTATTTATTTTTACTTAAGAATTAATTGATTTTATCTATTGAAAAGTATGGCAACTCTCTTCCATAAACATCCTACATATATGTATGTTAATGCAGGTTATGATAGCAACAAGCATGCTTACATAACCACTCACAAACTTT